TTGAAGGCTGCATATGCAGAACAGCGGCAAGTATGAGGCGTGAACCATGAAAGAAACAGCCTGAGACCACTGGACAAAGAATCGCACCTGGTGCGAGAGTTTCGCATGTAGGGAAGTCCAAACTTTCGCATTCTCGGCTCCACACGCTGACGATGGGATTTTTCACGTCGCGGTACCGCAGGCGGTAGTCCTCCAACTCCTGCTTCAGGATCTGTACTCTTAGAGGGCTCAGGACCTGCACTCTTGGCAATGGGGTAAAGGACGCTGCGGGATTGAGAAACTTGGGTGTGTGACTTTGGGGAGCATGTAGGCTTGAACTCTTTTCGGAGTTTGGGAGGGCTGAAGTTCAGGGCGGTTTGCCGACGAGATCATGCAGCATTGCAAAAATCGACACTTTGACTCTAATGCGCCCCATGGAACCCCAAACATCCCCAGCCGTACATGCCCCGTCCTTTTGACTTCCCTCTCTCTTCGAGGAATAATCTCTCTTCTATGAACTGTCCTACTTGTGGATGCCACGTGGGGTACAGCGAGCCCGAAATGAGGTTCACGGGCACTGGCCTCAAACAACCCATTGAACCTGAAGCCTCTGTCCTGAAAAGCAGCCTCCAAGGCATCGCGAACCACGTCCTGGTGGTCAGAGTTCTGCATACAATGAAGCCCAGAAGCTTGAAACACGGGTTAAGGCTGAATGGCGTGACGGCGTGTATCCGGCTCCCGAGACTTGCGAGGGTTTCCTGCCCACTTCTGTTTCAGAGCTTGGAGTCTTCTACTACTTAGGGTTCCGGAAAGCTTACGATTCCTCAGAGCCCAGCAGCCCATGTGCAAGACATGCGCTTCTTATGGGGAACAAACGGTGCATTCAGACTGCCGGCCCTGCAGCCCCACAGGTGCGCCTGCACGCCTTTTCTCATACACTAGCTGCCGTGCGTGCAGAAGAAACAGCAGGCAAACACAGATACTCTGCCATAGCTGCTTTCATCATGTGATGTGGTGCGCACATGGCCCGCAAGACAGTGCACAACTGACTTGCAGACTAGTCTGCGCTTTTAAAGTACAGCGACTCGTGCGCATGGCCCAGTGCTTCAGCGAAACGAATGCTGCGCAAAAACTTTTCAAGCATCATGGAGGCTGAAATGGGCTGTGTTCCGGAACAAATCAACTATTCGGTTTGCGCAGAAGCTGGGCGATCCTCGTCAGGGTACGTTTCCAAACATTTTCTGAGCACGTCAACTCTGTGAGGACTGCCTTCTGCAAGTGCGAATGTGTCGTGTGCAGCTTCGTGAGAAAAGCCTCGATGCTCAGCGGCGGCATGTCTTTCTTCGACTCGCATTGCTCGCGAATGAGCTGATCAACCATCCCAAAGTCCGCAACACCGTCCTTGCCAAGGAACGCGTAGCAGGTGCACAAGACCTCTTCCTGGAGGAGGGAATCGAGCTTGCGGAACTT